ATAACTGATGCCACCATCGGAGGTTCTTCAGTCTTCTTTGGTTGCTGGGTAACTCGATAAGGTTGGTGGGTACAGTAGGACTCTGTACTTGCCGCCACGACTTTAAACTCTCTCCAGAAGCCAACTTTCTTTTAAAAAATAAATGTAGCGAAACGAGGAGAGAGATTCTTCGATTGCTCTGATTACAGTAAAGTAATAATGAAAATAACTCTCTCCAGAAATCAGAGCAGCAGACCGGAAACGACCTCGCATCCCGCCAAAATGCAAACCAGGAGATGAAATGAAAGGTAACGTACACCGGATAGAGCCATTTTGGGATAGAAGAGACTGAGAGTAACATATCTGAACTGATAAGAGTGAGTATAGCATTAAAAAAGCAGGTTTTAAAAAGTAAGAATTCTTTGCAGACGAAAAAGAAGAGATAGGCCTGACGAATATGGAAATTAGAATCGGAACTAAAACAAATAATACGGCAGAGAATACAAAATTCTTTGAAATAATCTTGATCGAGAGATTAAAATTTGGAAATCAAATAATTAAAAGCTTTCTCCAGATTTGTATTTTTCTTCATTTTCGAATCTCTCTTTCTCTTCTTCTAGCTTTTTCGTCCAATACACCCGTCATACTATATAATATACGTACACATATGTACATATGTATGTATACGAATATAAACGTGTGCATAGCATACGTACGTGTATGCGAGAGGTCATTCGAAGATAGAGAGCAGTTGGCTTCCGGTCCGTTGGTCCGTTGATGAGAGCCAATTGATTAATAAAAGTCTGGTTGTGGGTGCTGCAAGGGACTCTATAGCGCATAACCGAGCAAGCGACGAGAATATAAGAATAACGTCTGACGAGAACGATCCACGTTCCTTCCTGTTTTGCCGTGCTCGCACTATATTGTTATTGATATTATCATTATTATGGCTTCCTGCGATGGCCACCGATCATCCCAGCAGCGAATCTTTCTGTTTCACTGATTACCATCTTCCGGCTGTGATTTATCATTCCCAAATATAGCATTCAAAATGAGCACCAATCGTTTCTTCATAGATTCTTCTTTTCTTAAGGATGGCTGCTGCGCTGGATATGACGCCGTGCATTTCCAGCATCCTCTCTCAGAACACTTGTTTAGGATGATTATTCAATCATAAATTCTGGAAAATCATTATTGGTTACCATATGGAGAGATAGCAGACTTTGCAGGCGATTTATTCAAAACCGACCAAATTGACCAACTTCATACAATATACAGACCGAGGTGCCTCACTGCCCCTTATCTCGCCTAGATGGCTTCGTTTAATCTCGTTCCTGCATAAATTGAATCTTGAATCTTGCATAACCTAATGATATGCCTTCCATATTGTTCTACAACGTTCATTAATCCAAAGAGGCTAGTTTTCAAACAATATGTGTCTCTGTGAAACTGTACAATCGATGGTGCCGGCAGACTGTAAGAACCATCTGTAATTTTCTCCGTACTTCTTGATTTGAATGTAGGCTTCTGATACTAATTCACTTCTATCACTTTCTCATAGCTTCCCGGTCGCTCTAGAATCGCTTTGGAATCGAAAGTAGCGACGATGACGACGACTACGGCATGGCTAATCGATGGCTATAGAGAGAAATGAGGTCCAGGAGCATTACCGTGGACCAGGATACTGCTCGAAGGAAGCTTGGTAGCAGCGGCTGGAACTACTCAGCTGAGTTCACGTGGTGTCACCGAATGCCGAGCTGGATGATGATTGTTACGATGATGACGTCTCGCCCGGCGACACTGGACCGTGCAACAGTCATCACCGTCCGCAACGTACTCGCCGCGTTTTATCTGGTGCGCGATCGTGTTGCATAGCGCCCGTGGACATCGTTTCCTGTCGCACCTGACCTCGCCATTCTGCAAACATTCAGACATACGGCGAAATTCGCTTTAGAACCGACGCCATTTTTCAATTTAGATCTGGGCATCGCGTTTCGTAATTTTTATATAAATATCGAGCTTTTTTATCGCGTCGTTGGTTATGTTTTTACGATATGCTAAATTATGTACAACATGGAAGACGCAATGATAATAACGCACTTTTTCCAGGAAATGTAACCCTAACCTACAACCTTAACCTTACCTTACCTAACCCTAACCTAACCTTAAAAGTAAGGCATGTTTCTATTAGAAGACACAAACTTAACCTAGGTACAATAATAGTAAATGTAATTTTTCTTTCAAAGGACACAAACCTAACCTATATATAATTGAGATGACGTAGTGGACGCTAAAACGAATGTATAATAGAGACACATTGGAATAACATCTTGCGGATGATCTCGCAATTACAACAATCGAAAAATAGCAATACTTCTTCCCCATGTAGTGTTGGTCCGCGCGCACAATCCGTGGCTGCGTTCCATTTTCATCGTAATGGATGGACTCTTTTGGGTCGGTCCAGGCGAACGAGTCCGGTTAAAGGTTTTCTCCTTAAAGGTTTCTGGTCGTGGCCGTGTCTGGATATCACAACGGGGCTACCATTGAAAAACTTCTAACGAGTATATATTGCGAAGCCGTGCGAGTAGAAGTAAAGCAAGTCGCAAGCCGTTTCATCGATGAGATCTTCGCATAAATGATGAAATGCGAACGAAAATGCTCGGAAGAAACACGGCCAATAATTAATTATTTACTCACATGTATTGGAGATCTAATACGAATAGCGTGACAATTAAAATTTTAAAATAAAATATTTTATCATGTTTAAATCATAAAATACAACTGATTTCCACCATTTGTCATTTAAAAGATTTCCAACTTTTGATATCTTTTATTATTTGATCTAAAGCTTTTATGGAACTAGTCTGTTATTTATTCGTTTATTTCAGGTTATTCAGGTTTGTTGTTATACGAGCAATAATAATCACTGAGAATGTTAAGTCGATTCATAACTATCTGAAGATAGATAGAGGTAGACGATCCTTAATTCGTACAATAAAATAAAAATCTGATCATTATAAGACTAGCAAAATATAAAAAAAGGCCTGCGAATGAGCCACAAAATTGACTGTCAGTTTTTCTGTGTATAAAATTTCCGGCGTTATTGGTAGATTCGATCATAAGGAAAGTGCAAACGACCATTACCATTGAGTACTTTTAGTAAGATAGATATATCGTTAATGTTAAAACCTTCTATAACCTTGAACGACCTTTGTTCCAACTTGTAGAACACGTCTGGACAAGTGTCGTTGCACCGAGACCAAAGAAGGATACGCGAGTCCGCGAAAAAAATCAAGGCGCCCCTGAAATTTCCTGTACACTTCCATTCGAAAGAAAGTTAGTCTATGTTTCACGGAAACCGGTTTTTCCTATTGTTTAAAAAGATATCTCACTAGTCTATATAAATTATTCAATATTCGGTATTGTTTAACCGCGATAATGTTGTAAACATTATAGACTCGTTTAGTTTCATTTGAAACATTATTTATAAAAAGAATGTTATTGAGCACGCATGTAGAAAAGGATGGTGAAAAGAAAAATTAGTACGAAATTCTAAATTTTAACTAAAAGCTTCAAATGCTAACCAGAATTTCTTGAAAAACCTAACCTTTTAATTGAAAATAAATAAATCTTTTACGGAATCGTATCTACTCGATGCATTTTGCCAATGATGGTAGAAAGGTAGTAAAGATGTGTCTCCTCAATCGTGTCGGCCAGCAACTTCAAGCACGAGTGGAATGCAGCTGATGAGAGGGTAACCAGCGATCGTGTAAACCGGAAATTGTCGCACTTGCTGGCTAAAGTACCGTGACGATCTCGCGCTACTAGTTCTCAACACTACACGTCCAATAAGATCCACTTTACATCATTACAATACCAAAAGAAATCCATTATTAGTAATTGGACTTTGCAACTATGTTCTATCTTTCTGTACTACCGATAATGAAGAACGCTGCAAAATTTTTTGTCTAGTCCCGCAATTGTCCTAACAACATAGTAGTAAGTTTATAATATGCGTTAAGATATATCATTCAGCTATTCTCATAATTGGATCTTTGCATCTGTATCTTACTTTCTTGTAGCTTCGCAAATTGCACACGTGCAAACCATCAATTTCCCTGTGACAGCAAAGTGCATTGATACTCTGACGATTACAACTAATTTCTAAGTTTATAAATAGAATGACTATATTGATCATCCTAGTTTCCCTGTAATTCATGTAACGTAAAGTTGCATTTACTATCCACAGCACTAATTTGCAAATTCTCAAAATTAATTCTCGGCACATCTTACATCGCGTATTTAAAAAATGATATCGATTCATTTAATAACTCAATTTATTTTAGTTACCCACAATTGCACCAAGCGTTCGCCAAATGCAGCGTACATCTCTATAATATCAATCTAATCGAAACGCCTTCGATCCGTATTTTCGCGAGATTGCACTGAATGCCCTATAAATGCAATTCATACAATCACGTATCAGCCTAATCTCACAACAGCCGCAAATTGCACCGAGGCTCTAGTGGTCGCGGTTACAAACTGCCCTAACCTCTCTACCAGCGAGGCGTGTAATCATAATCTGCCGAAATTCGCACGAGCGCCACCGTCGATTGAAAGGATTCGCATTCCGCGCGTCAAATGGTGGCCAATTGGCGGCCACAAAACCGTCACGATCCGGGAACGATGGACCGCGCTTTCATGCACCGACGCAATCTCATCTTTGCCGCACTTATCGCACGTGAACAAAGAAAAAACGACGGTAGATCGACCACGAGGAATCTCCAATGACTCTAGCGGCGCTCCGCGCCAACAGTAATAGTCTCGAGTCGTTTCGAGCGCCTGACTTCAATTCTAGACTTTGAAATTACAAAGCTGAAGTATATGAAGTATTTTAAGTTGACAAATAGAATATATGAATCATTTCTTAGAGTTTAGAACTTTTAAATATCCTACTTTGAAAAGATTGTTATTTATATAGAGGTTATGATATAATTGAATAAATAATATGGTTTGTAATAGGTTTCTTATTAGATATTTCTTCCAAGTTACAAGAATTTTGCAAGTGTTTTGAATAAATTATCTCATATTACGACACGGGCCTCACGAATCCCACGGAGTCGATTTATTACAGCGTTTAATTAGATTATACAAGAATCAGTCAGCGGTGTGTAGTCGGTGGAAGAGCGGCGCCTGTGAGATACGAGGTGCTGATTGTTAATAGACCTCGTGCATAATTAGTTACGCTAGACTAATTTGTAAAAACCATTGGAACATGAAACCGGGTGCTACTTGAAAACAGGACAGGACAATTATTTATACAAATAACTGTCATCTATCCACGTTGCACAGTCCCTGCTATACACCTTGATACATCTGAGCAAATAAAACTTTAGAAGTAGCTAATAAGTACTAATAAGAAAATTACCTATTAAAATGTCACGTATACCATTGTACATTTTTGAAACTCTCGAATCTCTCTCTATGAATTTACTTTAAACTAGAATCTAGGATCTACGTAGATCTTTCAGGTCTGAGAAAAGTTTTGCAACCCCGACTATATCATATAATGCAACTAATAAGATAACTAATAAGATAACAAAATTATCCATATCGCATACTTTCAAAACCCTTAAAAAGTATTACTTCAGATTAACGTATCACAAGCTTCCCAGATTCTCCAAGTATGTATAATAAAAATTCTCAAACTACGACCAGTATCAAAACGACTGCAGCGCCGCCACGCGGGAAAATTCGTAAAGATAAAAAATGAAACGCGTGTCTATTAAACAGTGATTCTCACCTTGCACCTGCACTTGACGCATTTCATTTCTCCGTGCGAGTGGACTCGTGGATGCCACTCCATCCCGTTCTCATACGGACCACCAAGGGGATACTTGCAACCGCCGGAAGCCAGTATCTCATCAGCAGTGCGCCTAGTGGATGGCGCCGCCTGGTCCCGTGGTAAACGTGTCGTGTCGCCCCCAACTCCTGCGATCGTGCTAGGCGTCATCGCCGGACACTGTCTGCAACATGCCTTCTTACTGGGTCTGAAGGCGATCTTCTCGTCGCAATCCAATGGCGGGCACTGTACCCGCGGACATTTCACCTCTAGCGTAACGGGCTGCAAAATAAATGGACGTCCACAGTCAAAACCTAATGCCGCGTTCACATTGCGACTATGAATGATAGGAGGTCCTCAATCTCTTTGTTCTCAACCCTTTGTAGTCTGAGTATTCATAATATTCAGTGAAAGAAACAGATGTCTACTTATGTTACAATCCTTTAATTATGTTCATAAAAATATGAAATTATATACAAAGAAAAAAGTCAAAGACTCAGATAATCGAAGCAATCAGTTCTCTTTCTACATGGATTACATTGTTCATAGTTAAATTCCATAATACTAATTGAATTCCAAATAAGTATGTGAACGCGATAAGGTTAAATCGAACAGCCAGAGTATCAGCTTCTGATTTGTCGACGTATACAAACACATTATCCGGCATCAGTGTTTCTACTCATTACACGTACGGAGTTGGTCAAGCGCGATTTAAGTGACAAGCAACGAATCAAAAGTAACGTCTTATCTCCGGTAATGAACATGACTCGGTGCAACGTGTCTCCAGGCATGACTTCAAACAATTCTCTAATATCTATTTAGAAAGGCCTGTCACTGATTGCCGATCGCGGCGCTCGCAACACGGAGCTCCTTTTCATGACTCGGCAGAGAGCAACCGCATTCTTCTGGCGCAACGAACTCGCGCGAGCGCGCCCCGGTGTCTAGTTGAATTTTTCATTCGCACGAAGCTTTTATAACCGTGTTGCCTACGAGAGAGCGCATTATAATATATGTCGCAGGATCGACGCCGATGCTGGAATCGTTACGAAACTCTCTGGCCGACCGCGACGAGAGTGAACGTATGGTAAAGAAGTAAACAAAGAATCTGGAAAAAGTCAGCCGTCTGCGTGGAATTCGAACCGTGCCTTGGAACCGTCGTGCCTCGCGCGTTTCAGCCGTTCTGTTCCGCATCATGGGACCATTTAAATTCCAACACGTTTCGAAATTCGACCTAAGGTTCAAGAATATTTACATCACCGCTTATTGTGCTCGGCAGAAAAAGTGGTACTCACGCGAGAGAAACCTTTGGAACTTGTCTAAATGAATTATAGACTGTTAATCATGGGAATACGTAGTAAATATACTTGGAAATATTCTATCTTTACAAAAGTTGAATTTCATTCGTTTACTTTAACAAAGTCTGAAGAATTTCGTGCAGAATTAAGTTTTCTTTCTATAGCTTGACTGTAATCGGCTCACCGGTCACTTCTCTACTCTAAAAAAAGTGATTAAATGGCGGAGTATCGCTATCTCAGTCGATTAAATTCACGCGTACCACTACAGAAAGGCAATGGTAGATTAAGAATAATAAAAAACTTACATCACACGTGCAAACTGCGCAAGTGTCGAACCCCATTGGTGGCAAATATGGATGCCATGACGCTCCTGGTAGGTGGAACTGGCCAGCCAGTGTGCAACCTCTTGTCACCGAACTGACATTCTTCCCCGTCGCATTCATGTTGATCCCTGGACCTATACGAACAATCCATGCCATTACTCCAAGCCGCGTATTTTTAGTTTATGTTATTTGTCGCAACGTACATGCGCAACAACATAACCTATTTACGAGCGAATCTTCCAGGAAATTATTATATACCCGTTAAGCCGAAGCGAACTGTACTAGCGGCTTTTAGATACAAATAGCGCAACAAATAATGAAACCGGATGAACAGAACATCGTAATCAATTTAATTAGATACAGTAGGACATCAATGTACCGGCGATGTATCGAAGAAAATGACGCATTGCTTTAATTTGATTCTACTAGAGGGCTTTTTCTCGACCAGCAGCAACCGGACTGATACGTCTCTATCGCACACGACAAATGGTTAGTAACTTCCGATTTATTCGACCGATTAATCGGTCAATGACAAAATTAATGATTAAATAAGTTTGACTCAGCTTGTAGAATAACGCGTTCGTCGTCGTATCAGTGATAAACACAAATCCAATTAACATTGATTAAAATAAATATTAAAATAACAGTATATATGTATATCTGAATTAAGTAAATTATATCGTCCACGATGAAATCATGTTTCCTCGAGGCAAAGATTTCAACGTTTGAACGGCTCTTAATGTTTCTTTGCAAAAAACGAGGAGTGACAAGTGGAATCGGACAAGTTGCGAAATAAATTTGCCTTATTTCACGATCGATAAGCGATCGTGTAATCTAAACAGGATCGTAAGTAGCTGTAACTAATTCCGCGCGATTACTTTCATCGAACGTGTCACGGTAATCGGATTGAAAATTGGCCACGGTCATTCTCTTAATTCCCTACGACTCTATGGTGTTTGTTGAAACGACGGGATACGAAATTGAAGGATAATTAATCCGGCGTTTTCTACGGTTTATTCTAGATTACGAGGATTCTAGTCGTGTTTCTGATATAAACATAATTCCTTATGACGATGAGAATTAAAAGAGCTGGTCGATAAATATAGAAGAAGATGAAGACTTGATTATAGTTTTAAGCGACATCAATTTGCAGAAGCGTTTAAATATTAAAGTGAATAAAAGAAATTCAACGTATATTATGATGATGAGATAGAAAGAGGTCCCTGAAGACGGTACAAGAGAGAGAAGAATACTGTCCACTTTAGCTCACAGTCTAGCCACGTTACGTGTTATACTGCTTAAAATACGATTATGAGTTAAACACTTGAATTTATTAAAAATAATCAATTAGGTCTGCCTTTGTTTTGGAGGCCTTTTTCCAGTTCTACACAGTATAAGACATATGAGCCCTGCATGGAGTTCCAAGAACAAGCTTTCTTCTTAATAAATCAACATAAAAAATCTTGTTTTTCTATTATATACATATCTCCCCATATAAATGAGAAATAAAAAAAAACAGTGAAAATAAAAATAACTTACTTGAACAAATAGGACAACAGTGACCAGAAGCAGGCCTCAACTGCTTGCCCTCAGCGCAGGTAAGAACTGGACAAGGCATTGGATCGCACTGTGGTAGTCCACGGTGACAGTGGCACATGTAGCACGGATCTGTGCTGGAGGTCCACTGAGTACCCTCTTCGTAAAATCTAGTCTCATGGAAGCACGCGCCAGTTTCAATATCCGACCTGGGTGGGTAAAGATTATACGCGACCACCGAGGCAACATCGTTATCCGCATAATGAGGAAGACAGCTGAGCGGCGCCCTGGCTTTGAACGGAGCCTTCAAAATCCTTTCAGCCTGTTTATCAGTTACTTCAAGGAAACCAATACCAGATTCAATTCTGTATAATTCCACTGGTGAGAGTCCAGTGACAGAACCTTCCAACACGTATCCAGTGAACTCTTCCAATAATCTCCTAGCTACAGGTGCTCCTTGAACTACTAAGGGCATGGTTTCTAGATAAAGTCGGAGGGTGCGTGGTTCGTGGCTGTTTGTGGAAGACGTTTGAGGGAAGCCAGCAATTTCAAGCTCATAATGTAAAGAGCAGTCTAGATCGACAGCTGTCCAGACCAGACCAACTGGACCAGGATTTAAAGGTTCCTGGGACAGTCTTCTGAGCAAAACAGGTGCAGCAGTATCTTTAGCATCAGCTACAGGTCTCTGTAGTAATCGGCCACGCAACATAGATCCAACGTGCGAGGCAGCAACAACTGCAAGTTCTCCATTAAACAAGGGTTCAAGGAATCGTGGTCCTGGACGCTCTAAGGATCCATTAGCTAAACCATCAACAAGAGAAGGCGTCAGATCTTCCAATTCGGTGCGACGTTTACCACCTTCATCTACTAATGTTACCAAAGGACTCTCTTCTTCCAGTCCTATCAACTGAACGCCATAACGCAACGAACCAGCGCGATCTAAAAACGCCCAGGCCAATCCAGAAGCTGCTGAAGGTGTTTCTGAGATCAGCAAAGTTTGATACATCTCGCAGTTGGCACGTGGACCCACTACCCCGGCTAATCGAAGTGCCTGAGGATCTTTTCTTGACATTATGCTAATAGAGAGCTTGCCTCTTGTTAATAAACGAAGGTCCGCCCCAGATAAGGCGCTCCGAACTTCCCCAAAGTTTAATTCGTTCGACGGCTTCTTCACTATTATTTCCTCCCGTAAAACTACATAATCCTTCTCCATGTGTTCCAATTGGACGATTAGTGGTACTTCGGAGACATCGTTAGGTAGAAAGACGCCATTGAATACCAAAGATACGTGGATAGATGGCGCTGATGCCGAGGACGCTGAAACTATGGCGGTAGCTCCTGCACCTGACATCAGCGAGCGATCCACTCCCATTGTGGGCTCCAACAAGGAAGAATACTGTTCCGTGGACAAGGCGCGATAACGGGACAACTGTCCAGTCAAGGTAGCCGACGGTTCCCATATAAAGGACACGTGCAGGCGTTCCTCACGCAGCAGTTTCCTGTAATCTCGAGGGACCCTCCTCCATACTCCACAAAGTTTACCTGTAGCATTTTGGTACACTCCACCAATAGGGTCGATCGTCTGTTCCTCTAGAATACTTCCCGATCCATCGATAAATTGTATGTTTCTTGGACGAGGAGTGGATGTTGACAAATAAAAGGAATAGTACAGATTTTTGCGGTGAAATGTGAAACGACCTGTGGCCAGATAGTTATAAGCACTGTTGTACATTGATGTCGGGCTGGGTTCATCGCGACGTAGTACCTGAGATGTTTTACCAGTTAAAAGTGTCCCAAAATCTGGAAAAACATGGGAATACATTGGGTTAGGTTTGGATAAATCTTCGGATGCACCGAATTGCAAATTGATAGGGACAATTACGTTTTAGACTTCGTTCCTCTTCCTCGGAGGTCAATTGCGCTGGCAAATCCTGCACTATGTCGCTACCTGTAACATGATAAACGATCAAATTTCACTCAACAGTTTATATAACAAACGTTTTTTCGCTATGATTATTTTTTACTGTTGAACGTCTATCTAACAATATTTCCTCTTCTAACTTCTCGTAGGCAACTTGGTTTGTTTATTTTCCTGTCGAAATTTTACCCGTGATCTTAGGAGCAAATTTTTATTGTTTGTAAGAAAAGTTCCCGTAAAAAATTTAGGCGTGGATATAAAGATCCAACTTTCTCATGGAAAGTGCGAAAATATGTTTGCTAATGGAGAGCTAACCTTCCAAAAAAATTTGAAGTATCAGCGCCATAACGGATTTTCAATTTCCCATAACGTCAAAAGTCGCTAAACTAGCGATGAATACCGGTAAGATCGTGGCCCGCAAAAAAACTTACTTTATTGCCTCGTAAAACGATCACGCGCGCGCCACCGTCGCCCAAACTCCTTCCTTCTGGCGAGAAACTTCTCGTTAAAGCTCATTTTGTATGGAGCAATGATATATGTCGAGGCTTTATACCGGTCGGCGTAATGCCCATATCGAATCTCTAAAATCGCACATACGAAAGTATTTAAACACTTACCACGGAAAAATTTGATGTATATATTCTGTGTGAATACGCGTGTCAGGTTTGTATCGTATAACACACATAATACAATCATAAAGGATTTCTACAAGTGTTCAAATACGCGAACCACTGTACGTCGCTTCGAGAGAAGATGTACGCACTTCTCCCATTTTCGTATTCTTCCTCGTAAGGATAATAGACGCGTGGTATGCACGTTAAAGCAGCGTATCACATCTTCGATTGTAAAGTCAAGAAATCTCGTATGGTGGCGTATCGATTACAAGGCGGCAGACACATTGAAGTCGCAACGTAGAACAAAAATAATCGATGGAGAAGGTGGGTAAAGAAGATGAAAGAAAAGTAGAAAAGAAGAAATTAACTACAAATAGAAAGAAGGAGAACCTAAAGGGGAGAGGAAAGGAGAGAAAGAAAGGGAAAAGAAAAAGAAAAGAGTGAATCCTCATTCAGCCAAGATGTGTGTATGAACCATAAAGAATGCCCGTGGGGTAAGAAAAGAGGAGGCTGGCGCCAACCACCGCTACTTTGAATGTTGCTTTTATGGCGCATACCGCGCCGATCCAGCCGCGCGGATACATTAATTGGTATACGTACAGTGTACAGTGCGTGCCAGTGACAGCCACCAATAGCCATGGAGTATCGCGACACGCCGTGCCGTTTCACCTTTCTACCCGTCGTTTCCTATACCTCTTAACCTCTCGATTTATGGATATTCGTTCCACGGGATTTTATACCAGCACGTTTCCTTACTAATTTGTTTCTATCTTACTCTCTTCGCAATTGTACGAAGCGGCCATCTTCTTTTTCTTTTGCAGCATTTTCAAGTACAAAGTTCTTTATGAAAATCGGTTATCACGCAACACATATAAAGACGGTACTTAATCTTTGTTCGTATTTTGAGATTTGAATTTAAATTCAAATTCCAATCGCATGTTTTATAGAAAAACATATCAGTGAAAAATTAGAATGAATTATTATTTTTAGATTGCTGTTGAATTAAAAAGTAAATGGGAAAGATGTTATCGAGCTCTGAAGTCGTTGAAGATTCCGTACACTGTACCGTCGGAAAGCCATGTGGCTCATGGCGCCTCGTTTCTTCTCATCTCCCTCGCATTAAGAGTCCAACAAGATGCCAAAAAGGCTACACGTTTCTAACAATTACGTCAAGCTTGATACGCTGATGCATCCAACATTGTTTGTAAATCATCATGAAAGATGACGCCAGGAATGGCGCACGTTAGACAGCGCTATAAATTTATTTAATAAATGGCGCTACTGGCATCAATTTCAGATACTTTCTACTTATTTTTAAGTACGGCAGATTTTTGTAAATGTTATTAGCACGTGCGTATTTCATTTCTATACTTTGATAAAGATAAACTTTCTTTTATTTTAGAATGCAGTAAATGTTACTTTCACAAGTCCCATTGCAAAAAATAATAGGCTACCATTTCCTAAAATCGAGGGACGTAGATTTTGGATTTTACGGCAGCTGAACGTGACTAGAAGGAGCGTTACGGCCAATTTAATAGCTTTCACGCGAGAATCGACACTACGCGGTACGTTTGACCGAAGGTCGGTCGTTATTCAGGATTAAGTTGCGCATGAAAACGGCGCCAAAATCACTGGGCCCGCCTAACTGACCACCATTCACATTCTCTGAAACACAAAATCTTATAACAACGTCTTTCTTTCATTAATTTACAACCTTCGAAATGTTTACCTGAAGCTCTGTAATGAGGCAGGTGACAATAAAACTACAGAAAAATATATTAAGTAACAAGACTAGTTTCCAATTTCAATCTTACTAGTAGCATACCAATCACGAAAAATTCTTAAGATGATCGTTCGTGATGCTGTTCAATCAATTACCAACCTTTTCTTAGTGTATTACTATTACTTAGTGTATTAGTATTACTGTATTACTTAGTGTATTAGTATTACTAATAATCAGCAGAGAAATAATTTTTCTTACAGGCTAAAAAAGAATTCTATCTTAAAAGGGATAACTGTATGATGGTAATCACGTCGACAGAGGATTTAAAAAAAAAAAACTTCAACAAAGTTGCTGTAATGAATACACTTTTAAACGATCTACCATAATACTCTGGACAGGGCCGTATATTAACCCAACGCTAATTACGCGATGCTCATGCATCTTTCGATGTCTCGACCCTTCGTTGCTCTTCCCGAGAGAACGCGGGAGATTCAACAAGTTTCGTCATTATCCAATGAATGGAACTCCTTTCGCGTCTTCTGCCAACATCCTGGACACGTTGTCGTCCGTTGTCCGAGCCGATGAGAATCGATGTGACAGTCCAATCGACGGGCTCACGGGTCACAGTTTCTTCTCGCGGGACATAAAAGGGAGACGGCCGCGTATTGGTAATCGTAAGCGACTTCACCTTCCATCAGCAGGGGGCAACAAGCCTGCCAGACGACGACGCGAACACGACCACGATGACAACGGCTGAAGAATGTAGGGGGAAAACAAATTTCTGCGCGTTGAAACTTTATACTCGTAAATAACGATAAGCGATACATCTTGAAACGGGGAAGAATTGATTCTATCAGATACGCAGGAATTTTTTACTTGCTTGCTGTAGAAGATTGTATAATCTGTACTTCAGTGCTATTTTCATTGCAAACTTTTGAATTGTTATTTATCTGATATAAGAGTACCAATCGAAATGGATGGACACTAGGCAACTATGAAATTTTGTTATCGCTATATAACCTGTTATGACTTATTAATTATTGTTTCATATGTTTTCAGAAGCAACTATCTTTCTGTTCCTAGAAATGGATACTATGACTTTTTTTAAGGTGAGCGGAAATATTGCTATAACGGGCTGGTTCTTGGGGCTTTGCAGCACCATATCGAGATGACCTTTTCGAATCTGGTTTTTCCGGGTACCAGCCATGTCAGATGGGTGGAAATGATACATAGATATCTAAGGAACCTGTGAATGAGAAACTTAATGCAACTTGCGACTAAATTGTTGAACGCGATAAGTTATTCGAGACAAATATGTGTCGCGCCTAACATAGACAAATTTCTCTATACGGGTATGCTCTCACGGCATATGTTTATTATTGGTCAGTGCAACACGATGCCGTGCCCATTTTCACTGCCCATGTTCCGCCGTACGTTAATTAGGAAAAAAAAGAGGAATTACTATTCGTTTGTGAATAAAGGTACATTGTATAATAAATCGTTCGCAGCTACAGTAGTTACAACCTTAACGAATATAGATATGATTTTACTCGTAAATTACAGGTAGACGTAAAAATGTTTTAGGGATTTTTATCCGCTGAGGTTGACCTGCCTGGAATCTGGTACAATTACGTCCGTGTTTTAATCGCTTTCGAATACGTATATGTCTATTTCCTGCTCTTAAAAATATCGACTAATAAACAAATTTAAAAAACGGTTCAACCACCGACATTTTTGAAAAACACACCAGTCCTCCCTCTCCCCCTATGGAGGCAATTTAAAGTATGCGTGATAGCAAGCAACGAGGGAGTGGTTGACAAAGATAATAAGAAAAAGGGGCTCGAGGGAGTGGAGGCAGACACGAAATTAACGACGATAAAGCATGTCGGGAGGATAAAGAGCAATACAAGGAAAGACGATAAGAGGTGAACACGAAGAGGCAGCAGTAGCGACGAGACGATTGGTCAGCCTCATTGAAAGAGGAATGGTTTGCAATGATGCCCCTACCCCCCTGCTCCTCCCACACTGCTTCCCCCGCGACCTTCCAACCTTCCCACCAAGCCACGTCTCCTCGTCTATTCTCATTCCCGCGCGCGTTATGCCCGATCATTACGTATGCTAATATTTACATTTAGATTGCACGGCTTAATCGAAGTGACGCCATGCGGTAATATAGCCGGCGCCATGGCGCTAAACCGTGGCGCCCGACCTATCTCTTCTTTCTCTTTCTGCCTACCGACCACCACATCTCTTCTACTCCTCTTCCTCTCGTCGTTCTCCATTCTCTTCTTTTTTGCCTACACTGTCTCTCCTGCCGTTTCTTTATCATCGACCTTTTTTCCGCGCTGCTTTTTTCTTTACCGACCGTCCTTCCCGCCGCGTCGGTTACGCTTAATTCGATCTCTCTCACGGGTTGTTATTTCGCTTATCTGCCACACGCGGCTGTGTCCCACGGAACGGCCACGGGGTGGCACTATTTACGCTCAACAGAAATCCGACCCGCCATCTTCTTCCAATTGACATTATTTGACATAATTTTTTCGTAGTTGGCATTTGAGACGTTTTTTTCTTTTTTTTGCGCGACGGTGGAATCGTAACAAGGAGAATCGTATCTTCGGTTATGTTGGAATAATAAAGGTGCTGGATAACTGGGCTACCGGTTAAAAACTTCCCTCTTTAATTTCTCTTGATGTGGAAGGAAAAGCCCCTCCTCCTGGCTCTGATGTGATATTATCTCAAGAGGAGAGGCTACTTGCCGCCTATCTGGCCCTTTATTTGTTGTAAAAATGTAACATTAGGTATAAAATATAACAATAGCATCGTAAGTTTGTTAATGGTGATTAAGCAGTGGAACAGTTGAACTTACTAGTGCAAGAATATAAAAACATAGCGCGCGTATTCATTACTGGACTTATTATTAAGAATATCGACATATTCACGTTGCGAACGAGACGGCGCCACTCTGACGTTTGTATCCTCAATTATTGAAATATTCGACCGTAAGTATCGTAGATGTCTAGTCAAGATAAGTTCAAGGAAACAAGAAATGCGGAAAGATCGGTCACGTAGCGAATCGTTCTCTGAATAACATAGTGTTTTGAATGACAAAAAGCAGTATGCGAACACTAGGCTCGTTATGTATGGTAAACAAACAGTAACGATCTCATCGATACACTGTTAATTCCACCTAATTGTAAGTTTTACGTGGTTCTACTTTTCTTCTAGAGGCACCTGCGAAACTAGCGTCACTGCGCAAGCTCACGCTACGTACAACATAAGATGACATACTCATTCATAAGATCACGATAGGAGATTAACATGACGAAAATACGAAGGAATTTGATTATGGGGAAAATAAATGATAAAAAGAAAATGGCGATATGAAGGATCTTGTACGGCCGCGATAAAGAAATCTTCGGCTAGCCAGGAATGGAAATAGAAAGCACGCGGACAATGACAGCAGGCTTGTCCATGGTTAATAAATGTGAGCTCGCTAATTGATTCTAAGTAACCAATAAATTGCGCTGGCCGCATTGTAAAAGTGGTTATGGTGAACGTATGCGTGTGGCCGAGCGTTATCTTTCCGCTGGTGGTTTGTTCGTTTTTCCCTCCCAAGATCGCCTGCGCCTGTCGGCCGGCGCGTTATCATAAAAGCCCGCGCTTTTCCTCGCTCGTTTAAAAATGGCGGTCTCAATCGACGCTTCTCGCCAATGGTAATATGGTAAAATGGTAATATGGTCATCGCGGTATCGAGTAGAATACCGCGAGGATATCTTGAAACATCGTCCCTGCTATCAAGGTAATAAATCGCGATTCTTCAAAAAGATATTTTATTGCGAAAAGGTTATCATCTGGTATTATGTTTTGCAGAATTTTTTAGGCAATCGTGCAGAGCTACATTTTGTTGAATATTGATATCAATGTTTTATAGAATTCAATTAGGTTATCGAATGAAATGGACTATGAAGGTTCACTACACAAGGTTTTTTCTATTCTGCAATAGTAAGTAAATATAAAAATTATACTACCAGCTTGTCGCCGTAGGTAAAAAAGGATTTACAACACGTAGCACTAATACATTTTCATCTGTAGATAACACACGGAATTCTCGGTATTTATGGACTACGAACTATTTCTTTTTATAAAAGCCTCAAAGTTACTTTACATGCAACAACGACTTCTGCTCGCATAGATTATCTCATACATCGGTTGGACACGACACTTGTGATAATTATCGTTATAATGATGGTAACAGATAAATAAATATTAATAATTAATCAGCATAAATAATCAAATAATGCTATTGCTTTTTACAAATCTGCGTGCGTTGTTTAAAGATCATTTTATTGTTTACGAAACGACTCGGAATTTTATAAAACTAAAAAGTCATTTGAATCTCATTTAACTCGTTTCATCTTCTTCTGTCTTTTTATTATCATTCTCGTTTCAAACGTTTTGTATATGTAGATCTCTATTATATCTTTAGTTCATAGAAAACAGCATATAAACTTAATATCAAAGTTCTCATATATTGAGTTGGCAACTAGGTGATTGCGGATTTTGTCATTAAGCGGTATTGACAAATCCGCAATCACTTAGTTGCCAAACCAATATCTTCCATTTACCAATAATTCGATTTATCATCCAGCCAATATGTTAATAGAGCCGCTATATTTGTAAAAAGCTCACTATTAGGTCAGAATTCCGTTTATAAGAGAGCTAAATCCTTAACCTTTATTTCCAACCAGCCAATGTATTTCCACCTAAAAGCAAGAGGAATGGGCACAGGTATTTCGATCAGTTCATTTATTCCATCCGCATTCTATGGTAATTAACGGCGATATAGGAATCCATTGAAGAAAGAAAGGAGCCAAGTAACCGTACAAAGAATTTGGCCCGTGTTATTCAAGTGAAAGTTGCACATTTTAGAAATACTTCATACCGCAACGTTTATTGGGCGAGAAACAAAAGATAAAACTCTTGAATTGTGTCCTATAGATATAGCTATATTCTAATCATGTAACTTGTGTTTTTTTATCGAATAGTACTCGAAATTTCCGGTCCTGATTTCGATATCTGCAAGTCGGTCACCTATGATGCAAGAAGAGCATTACCAAGGGACAATGAGGGTGACATGCATTTATGTCATCTGTGTATGACTCATAGAACTTATAGTATAACCAGACAAACAATTCCTTGATAAGTATTAGTCTAAATTGTTCCTTTGTCACCTCGTTATCCTTTAAAATAGGCTTATAGATCTGAATTAAGAATAGAATGGGATAAAGGATATTATGAATTAAGAATAAAATTAGATAAAAGAGATAAGCATGTAAATCTTTTGCAACACTTTATATTGTTGCATGTAAGAGATCGTATACGTTGAATTGTACTCGAGAATGAAACCAAGTAAAAACCAAGTTAATATTGTAATTACAATTATAACATTTATGAAAGGAAAAAAGGCAAGGCAAAGCTAGGGCATCTTTCTTGGCAAAGAAAAGTAGCAAGTTGAAGTCTCTTATTTTGCAGTACTCGAAAAAAAGCTGCATATGCGCGTTAATCTGCTAATCCCTAATAAGAGTACTCGAGCATTGAGGCGATAATAAAACTGAAGCCACCAGGCGATAACGGTCAATCATGATTACATGGCATTGCAAATACGATTATCGGATCGATCGGACCGATAGAGAGACGTTCGAAGAAGCGACCGAGGAAGTGTTAAGAAGAAAAAGAGAATCCTCTAGAAGGCGAGAAAGACAACGACACAGACAAAAGAGGCAGTGATCATTGATAAATGATTTATGCAAGCCACTTGACTCTCATTAATATTTCCCGTCACTCAATATATTGGATCTATATCTTCTGTAAGCGCTAATCGTTACAAGTTTGCTGATAGTTATTGAGCATCTTTCGTTTTTAACCTTTTTTGATCGTCAGTACAATTATGGTAACTGGCAAATCGCAAAAGTTTCAGCAGCCTATACATTTCAGATTATTTCTCACAGAGATCAGTATTCTGATCAATGATATTGTGATACTAGCGCCTCTGTTGGCAGATTCTTTTGTTTCAAACATAACCTAGAATTAAGAACAGTAACGTATGAATGTTGACGATACAACAAAGTCTTCGGGTCATATAATAGCAATATTCTTATCTTGGAGATACCGTTGTATTAAATAAGGATACTACTATATGTGCCACAAGTGCAAGGAGTGTTCCATAACACGTCTACATGGAGGTCAGCACAAGTGCCTACATCTGCTGCTTTTTCTCAAATACAATGGATCCAATATCAAGTGTATGCAAAGAAAAATATGCTGTTACTTACTAAAGTCTCCAGGACAAGATTTGCAACACCTGCCTGGAAGGAGAACTGGCTCTTTGCACGTAAGTTCCGGGCATTCGTTCTTGATGTTACGGCAGTGAACCCGCGCTACGATTCGCCGTTTCTTCTGCACCTGAAACCAGAACATTATTATGTATTTTCACACATTACAACGTTTAAAATATTATCATGCTGTAACAGATGATTTTCAGTTGAACAATAGGGAAAAGTTTGAACGATGTCCGTTACGAAACAGAAATGTAAGAACTTAAAGAAACAGCGTCTAGGTTAATTATTATTCGAATAATGGCGAATGCTAACACGTTATTTTCCTTTTCCAAATTATTCGAATTCCAGCGAGTTTCTCCATCAGCCTGTTCATACTACTGGACACGTTCGCGGTGACGTTTGAAAGTGTGATTGTAATGTTTTCGAACCTGTAAACGTGCTTACATGTTTATTACTCCTTTACGCATCGCTGACGACGACAGTTGCAACGTTTACATGCACGGCGTGCATAAATCTATCGTCAAGTAATTGGTAGGTGTTATTGATCACAAAAGACTCGTTTATCACGGTCAATGGTGCCATTATTCGCGATACGATTTACAATACTCTATGGCAATATAAATTATCGTTTAACGTCTCTGTCGTTCACCATTTTCTACGGGTTTAGCGCGAAAAAGAATCGTCCACCTACCGGGGCTTGAACCGTGTAAATGGCGGCGTTGTTACCGATGTGTTCTACAATATACGTCTTATAAATTCATATTCCGCGGTATTGTAGTTCACTCCACTTTCTACCATAGATCTGCCGTTTCTACCTAAGGTATTTCTCTTTTCAGATGTCTTACTCGAGCTCCACTGTGTTGTTCTTTACGATGCATTCATAGCTCGATGGTACATGCACGATTCAATTCATGAACAACGCACATTCGTCTAGAAGAAACATTCCTTACTTGTTCATTTTTGTACAGGAATATATATAATATATTTAATAGTATATATATAATAGTATCCATTGAAATTTCCTGATGATAACGAAGGAACATGATCGTAATTATAATTTGTGATCAAATATCGTAAAAGGTTATGCGAGATTTCAATACATAGGCGTAGACGGAGACAAAACTAAATGATCAGATAATGGATCTAGGTATCAATGACGTTTAATCAAACTGGAACTAGTATTATCTGCTTAAGTTCTATTTGTTATATATTCTTGTAGCACACGCGTAGATTACTTAATAAGTAAACGAAATTAGTATCCACATTGCTGTACGAGTCAGCCATATTGAACGGAACTTTATTGATATTTGTTTCCACTACCTGCTCAATTATTTCTCTACCCGACTGTTACTTGTTTGTTTAAGTTCCATATAATGTAACCAGATAATAAAATAATGATATAAATAATAATATATAATATGAATTATAAATTAGCGATATAAAAACTATGATAATAAAAAAAAAGAAAAACAGGTAAAACTAGAACCATTGGATACAAAAATCGTAAAGTTCGAACGAGTTTCCAGCGATCCAGCAGACACGCGTTGACCGGTCGATAAATATCCGACTTTAGAGCAAATTTGCGGCGTCTAGTTATCTCTGGGTGTGAAAAACTAATCTCGAAAGATTCTTCTTCAACGGGACACCAACCAAAGGAATGGATAAGAGATCGTGCATCCGGCGAGGGTTCCGGTTACACTGGTGCCGAGAGCAGAAATTAAGTTTGGGGTTTTATAGAGCTGCATGGCATTCCTGAAACGCGAAACGATACGTTCGATGTTGATTCGAGTGACAAAATGAAAAAAAGTCAAGGGAGCGGAACGGCGCCGACCGGCGATCAGACAACGCAGACGTTGAACTTCGCATTACGGGAGAAACGGGGCGCCAGGAGTAAATTCCGAGATTCAGTGGCCCTCGTGAGATCGCGTGACAGTTATTTAACTGGGACCCGCTAAGCGAGTATGTCGGTGTATTTTTTATCGTCCAGAGATACATTTAGGTGCCTGCCGACGCATACCTCTAGTACTTCTGATAAGTTTCTACGACATTGCGAGATACAATGTAACAAAAAGTTTTTCAGCGATCTGGAAACATGAAGAACGATAATGATAAGGCCGATAGTAAAAAACGAAGCAACCATTTTTCCATCGACAAGTATTCAATTATGTTCTAGATAACGTGGCGTAAATCTATATAGCTTTCATAGAAACTAAATATAAATCTTCGCGATTTCTACGGACTCTGTATCTCGTTCTTTTCACTTTTACTCACACAAATGTTGAAATATTCCATTTTTTTGTCTCCTTAAGGAAGTTTTGAATATATCCTTCGACGTTGGACATTGTACAAATATAGCTGTGTGACGACGTGACCAAAAATACCATGCGACTGCGCTAATATCGTAACCAAACGGCCAATAAGTGTGTATAATGTGAGTATCCATATACGATGTCATGGGAACGTTTTTGCGAGACACAGACAGATCAATCCTAATGATCGTCTCGATTAAAAAACGTCCCGCTATTCGCACGAGCTGGCGTGGTCCACCCACCTACGATTTTCTCGCACCGTGATAGTCATTCATTATTTCGACATTATTCTATAGGTAATAATAGAAGCAAGACAAACGTTCTCGCCTGATCGGACAGGAAGTCGGTATCGATTTGTGCGTGAAGTCTCCTGCGTGGGTCGTTCTTCGAGCGTTCTCACTTCCAACAAATCTTTTGATTTATGCCGCTTCCTAAGAAAATGAACGAACCACCTCTAACCTCTTAATATGCTATTAAACCTATTTTCATGAAAAGCTAGAAATGTATCAAGTTGTAACATAATTCAGTTCGATTAAACGCAATATTCTCCCCTATTTAACTGAACGTACATACGTTACGACGTACTATCTACATCTGAGTGGCTAATTACATTATCAAGTTCTATTTTGACAGGCAAATCTAACAAACGTATGTGTCGAGCATAAATAGACGTAGTAACACTGGAAAATAAAACTAATAAGTAGACAGTGTACACTAGTCCCGTGTATGACTTTAGGTAAAGAAACGATGTCTCGTGTGATTCACGCGACGTGTCTGCCTGGTCGCTCACAACGAAGCCCGTGACCTATCAATAGCTCCTCATATACACTGAAGAGGGACTGTCATTCCACCGAAGACTAAAAATAGAGTTCGCGCGTCCGTCTATAAGCTGCTGGGTCCGAGCAGTTCTGTACCAATGCTCTCTCTCTCTCTCTCTTTCTCGATCACACTTTATTTTTTCTCTTCGTCTACCCTTTCGTCCCAGCCTGATCTTCGTTCCTTTTTCTTTTCTACGCCAGTATTTATAGCAGTTCCTCGTGAAATTTTTGCTCGCTCCTTACTGTTGATACTTCAATCGGCAAATATCGTTAACATTTATACTTCGATTCCAAAAAACGCTATTTTCTTTGAGTTGGCAATGTTTGGAATGTTTTAAGGTTAACTAAAAAGAACGAAATGCAGACGGGATGTTATAGGCAAACACGGTAAGAACGGTTGCCAGTCAAGGACAGAGTTTACGAAGATTGGCTAAATTAAACTCCATTAGGACAGTCGTGACCGTTCTGCCCGGACGACAAATGCATGCGCGACAGAACCCGTTACTATGATAGAGATCATTAGTTGAACCGCACAGAGCGAGGGCTTTGAATCGCTTTATGATTGACCCCAAATTTATATCCACATCCTTAACCTACAAACAACTGTATGCGCGGGTCAAGTTATTAACCCAATGTTATTAACCTCGCCTGTGACTTCGTCAATCTAACTTTCGGATCCCATGAAAATTATTTATCGTCCCCGTGGCTAATATCCTGCCGATGAATGACATAAGTATACCCAATATAAACAGCATAACTCGATTCTAAAATGCGGAATATCTAATCGACCATTAGTGATCGTTCATTCATGAAATGTAAATGAAAATCAATATGTCAGTGTTTTTTAACATGTATTCCTTCTAGCATCTTAATCATTTAGTGTACGATGACTAGTTTTTTTTTTTATTTCCGTTAATTCGTAACTACGTATATAATAAACTATTATGTACCGCCTTAAATCACGTAATTCAGATGTCGTGTCTTGGCGCGCGTGCTAGCTACGTATCTGATCTTTCGTCTTACCGGATGAAAAATAGTGGACCAAATGGAATTTTAAAGATGATAAGTAATTTATTTAGTGCGCACATATAAGTAGTTTTTGTATCAGATATTTTTCAATATATTCATCTATTCTAAAGTATATATGTATTACATATATTCACTATACTTGTTAAATACAATTCTGTTTTGTAAAATGGTGCTACTGTGTCTCTATCTTTCGGACATAATGTGACGTATAATGTTTGTACACAAACAGGATCGTGTAAACCGACAGAGCAAACATCGGGCGCGAACCTCGTGTTTGAATCGGCGCAGTGTAAACAGCCCTAAGCCTTGAACGCTCGGGAAAAGATCGAATTTCTCGTTCCCGGTTGAAAATTGGCTAATGTTGTTTACACTATAAACAGAATTCAAAGCCATAGTGATGGACGTGCATGAAGTGACACAACAAACCAGTTATTTTCTACCAATAAATGTCGTAAGCAGAAAAGCAACTTCGTTTTTATGTGTTTTCATGCATGCAACAAGTAAGACGCAATACTTATACTGATAATGGCTCTGAACGTTCCAGTATCAATCAGATGACAGTTAATCGTTTTCCTGATAGATAATTTCAATGGTTGATTTTATACAGATACGTAGAAAACATCTTTATCGATACTCGAATTCTGCACGATTTAATTGTCCGTTTTAAGCTAATGGAATTTTTGGAACTAGATTTTCCATTGGCTGACCTACTGTCAGAAGATATTACAGAAAACGAAAATGTTACTAAATGGTTATTCCTTAACCTTAAACTGGCACGGTTCTTTAACGTTGAACTAATGGTACCATGGGCGAATTTTTATGGATTCGTCGTAATTATACTTCTAAGATCGTGAAATTGATACATCTTACTAAAAACGCGCATTTATTAATAGAAAAACGTTGGATACAAGAGCGTTAAGTTGATAAACGTATTGTCTTGAAAATAAAACTGAACTTTGAAAGTCTACGATATAAATTTCCCGTGGTGCTTCTTCTAGCCGTAAGTACCTATGTAATTTCCTATCTACCAATTAAAGATTAATTTTAAAAAGTTATTTCCCCGACAACCATAAAGATTACTAGTCGTCACGTGGATATTGTCAGAAATAGTACACGAATCTTCATGCCTGTTTCGCAGTTGAAATTATGCGGGTAAAGAAGGAGGAAGAGGAAAGGTGAATGGCGCAAAGAAGAATGAACGCACATATCGCGTGGGTGGTGTCGGTGGGTCTTGTATAATGAGATGAGTATCTTTAATAGTCCGACGATACAAGGCGGCCGGCACGTCGTGGGTATCAAAGCCCCCTCTCGTATCCGCCTTACACATCGCCCTCTCTTTTCTGCTTCAATGGATCGAGCATGAGTGGGTGTGAACGAAATCTCGACTGGATCATCGTTTAACGGCGCTTTTGTTCTCGTAGAGGATAAAAGGTGTTTCGCTCGATAAGGATCAGTCTTTATCGTTCCTTAATGAAACGTCACATGTATATACATTTGTTCGCAAATCCAAAGACTAGAATTACAAAATTGAAATTTACGAGTGAAATACGATTATTGTGCAGGATTTCTTCGTGTTTAACGGGTGAATCACACGTTTCTACCCTGTTAAGAAAATATTCACTTTTAGAGAGAAATACAACGCGAGAGAAATAAAACTGCAAGTGAATAAAAATTACAGATGGCTGATTAGAAGCAATTAAAAAAAAGGCCAATTCTATGCTAGGCGGTTAAACGAAGCAGAAAACATCAGGCCTCCGCCTTTCATCGAGAAAGTCCGGAAGAGAACCACTAAACAGAGCTAATCGACCGGGGCCGTACTTTTATCTCTTCATAATCACGCTCATTAGTGCCGGGCCTATTATTACAGGTCTACAAGAAATATCGATAAGAAAAACGCCCGATTTAGCAACCGGGCGTCGCTCTTACATCGAACACACGTTACGTTCTCGTTCGATCGTAACGACCCTCGTCTGTATATCGGGTGTTCGACAAATACCGCTGCCATACATTGCATCGTTAAACGGCGAACGAGCAATAAAACGAACAATGTTTTATGATTCTCATTTAATTAGGTCGTAAAAGGCACAATTATTACCGTCGGCATCTTGTCAGAAAATGTACGTATACTGCGTCTGAAAAAAAACGCCGTAAAAAGGTGAGGGGAACCAAGGTCAGAAAAAATTACGCAGCTTTTCATGTAAATGCAAAAAATGAGTCAGGAAGGTGTTATCGACTGGATGATTAAAAAAATGTTTGTATCGACGGGACGGGTAAGAGGCGAGAAAGGGCAAGAATATCGATGACACACAGAAGGGACGTGTCGGTACACGGTGACGTTATCGATCGGCTCATATAGGACGCAAAACAAAGCGGTGTTTCCCCCGTGCACATATGCGTGGAATGTAAATGACGATTATTGCGCGATTGGACAGGAATTCGAGCGATCCTGGCCGGCAACAACGCAATATAAAATGGAATCGGTCCGTCTTATCGGTATTCGTCGAGCACTGCGTATCGAATCGTTTTCAATTTTCTTTCGGTACTGTATTTATGCAAATTTCTAAGAGCTACGATATTTTATAGAAATACATGTCATATGCTGTATATGGTTTTACCTACCTGGTCGCATCTTATTTTCATTTTGCAGACAGACGGTCAAAAAGGAATAATATATGTACGCAAAGAAAATAGAGCAGCAATGGAGAGATAAAAATTTGTTTTCAAACGTACGGCCGGAACTAATTTAATTCGGCGTACTTCGCGTCATACGAACGCGGCTTCATTAATAATGGAGGACGCGTGAGCACGACAAAATGTATAACCGACCGTAGGTGCGGCCTGTCAACGATTGCGTCGGAAATACAACACTGCCAACCCATCATTCGACCTGTTTGCATCGACGAAAAGAAACGAGACAATACCGATTCTTCTGACGCTTCGAACGCGCAGATATTCAATCGCGTCAAAATTATCCGCCTTACTTCGAGATATATATGTACATATACATACATACATAATATATGTACATATTATATTTCGGAATACGTAAGATATCTGACCGAAACTTTTTATTTTCCTTTTCTTTTCTAATTAATACTATATTAATAATTTATTTTGTATTATAGGCAAGTAGCCTATTGCAGGAAAATTCTTGACCCCTCTCACTTATAGTTTATTACAATATAATACATTTTTTTATTATATATCTTTATTATATATTTTTTATATACTTCATTATACAGGGTAGTTGATAACTGGTGATACAAACGGAAAGGGGGTGATTCTATGCGAAGAAAGAAATCGAAAATATAGAATAAAAAATTTTTTTTTTTAATTTTTCCATCGAGATAACGATCTACAGTGAGATCCGTTATAACGAGACGCGATAAAGTGCACGCGTACCGAGCGAAAATTCAAAATCGATTTTCTCGAAAACAAAGCCTCGAACGAAAAATTTGTATTCTATATTTTCGACTTCTTTTTTCTGTTATCGACTGGATGATTAAAAAAATGTTTGTATCGACGGGACGGGTAAGAGGCGAGAAAGGGCAAGAATATCGATGACACACAGAAGGGACGTGTCGGTACACGGTGACGTTATCGATCGGCTCATATAGGACGCAAAACAAAGCGGTGTTTCCCCCGTGCACATATGCGTGGAATGTAAATGACGATTATTGCGCGATTGGACAGGAATTCGAGCGATCCTGGCCGGCAACAACGCAATATAAAATGGAATCGGTCCGTCTTATCGGTATTCGTCGAGCACTGCGTATCGAATCGTTTTCAATTTTCTTTCGGTACTGTATTTATGCAAATTTCTAAGAGCTACGATATTTTATAGAAATACATGTCATATGCTGTATATGGTTTTACCTACCTGGTCGCATCTTATTTTCATTTTGCAGACAGACGGTCAAAAAGGAATAATATATGTACGCAAAGAAAATAGAGCAGCAATGGAGAGATAAAAATTTGTTTTCAAACGTACGGCCGGAACTAATTTAATTCGGCGTACTTCGCGTCATACGAACGCGGCTTCATTAATAATGGAGGACGCGTGAGCACGACAAAATGTATAACCGACCGTAGGTGCGGCCTGTCAACGATTGCGTCGGAAATACAACACTGCCAACCCATCATTCGACCTGTTTGCATCGACGAAAAGAAACGAGACAATACCGATTCTTCTGACGCTTCGAACGCGCAGATATTCAATCGCGTCAAAATTATCCGCCTTACTTCGAGATATATATGTACATATACATACATACATAATATATGTACATATTATATTTCGGAATACGTAAGATATCTGACCGAAACTTTTTATTTTCCTTTTCTTTTCTAATTAATACTATATTAATAATTTATTTTGTATTATAGGCAAGTAGCCTATTGCAGGAAAATTCTTGACCCCTCTCACTTATAGTTTATTACAATATAATACATTTTTTTATTATATATCTTTATTATATATTTTTTATATACTTCATTATACAGGGTAGTTGATAACTGGTGATACAAACGGAAAGGGGGTGATTCTATGCGAAGAAAGAAATCGAAAATATAGAATAAAAAATTTTTTTTTTTAATTTTTCCATCGAGATAACGATCTACAGTGAGATCCGTTATAACGAGACGCGATAAAGTGCACGCGTACCGAGCGAAAATTCAAAATCGATTTTCTCGAAAACAAAGCCTCGAACGAAAAATTTGTATTCTATATTTTCGACTTCTTTTTTCGCGTAGAATCACCCCCTTTCCGCTTGTACCACCAGTTACCAACCACCCTGTATATCTTCATATCTCTCGATTGTTATATCTTATCGCTGCTGTTATTGTCCTTAGTCCTTTCTCAGTTAGTATTTATCTATCCTATATTTTTATATTACGTTGGTATATGTATATACATATGCACGTAGCTATATTTTGCATCTATATTTCTATATAAAAGTATATTCTTTTAAATGTGCATTCTGCTATCCATCTATGTATAGTTTTCTAGTCTTTATGGCTGCTTGTATGTAACTGAAGATATTCTTTATTGATATAAAATATTTGTGTTTCTTTCCTTTCCATATTGCAGACCTGGCATGTTTCTGCGTCGTTTATTTGTACTTCCTCCCCCTCCTCCCCATTTCTTTTTCCTTGTGAAATATACCTAGAACGAAAAGCTTCTTCTATTAATTTCAAAAATATCAATATAAATATACCAATTGCTCTCGCATATGAGGTTTCCTTTTTCGCCAAGTATACCTAAAACGAGAAGCTTATTTCCTCAACTTTAAAAATATCAGTATTTCAATTCTCCTCGTATGAAAGACTACTTGATATTAATTATTTAAGACGGCCAAATTAATCAGATACAATCTTGAAACAGTTAATGTACAGGAACACGTTCAGAATTCCTTGACAGTGTTTAAAGGACGTGGTATGACGTGTCACAATGTATCTACCCGTAAAACGATACGTGAGCAATATATGCGCCTCGCTCACGTACAGTAGTAGTAGACGAGCTAAGAAGCGGACGCCAGTCTGTCTCGGATCAGGAATGGGATTAGAAAGCACGTCAAGTCTCCGTGGGTCACGTCACCCAGATCGAGATTTAGTCCGTGCCTCGCGTATTACGTCGGTCTACAGTACTATCCAAAGGGCAATGCCATTTCTACGACCTTCTCGGAAAAAGCGATCCAAGAAAGAGTCGATATCGATTAGCTTGTTGCATACGGTGATTGTCGGAAATCTATACATTCTACATAGTCTATGATCCTTCCTAGTAAATATTTCCTAGTAAGTATATACGTTTGACATATTTTAAATTCCAGAAAACTACATAAGCTATTTTATATTACGTTTGATATATTTTAAACTCAAGAAAAACATATAAGCTATTTTATATTTTATAAAATTGGAATTCGTATGGCCAAATTGCTTTTACGTGTATAGTAAGTAAATATAAAAATCGAATTGAGCTTAGGAGGAAGCTTAGGATTATAAATAATACATTACATCAAATAATTAGACTAAATTAAATGATAGATTACGTCGATATTTGAACGGACGTCAATTATTGACATATCGTACGATGATGACCTATGACTGTGCGAAATGACGTAATCCAGACAACGATATTTTTATAGTAACTGTTTGACCAGGAATTTTACCGAATTAACTCGTAATTTGAATTGCCAATGGCTTATGTAAGCAAAATTTATATAATAAAATTAAGAAAACTTATCCTGCAAGGATAAGATCTTACGTTCGCACAAATTGCTAAGGTTCACTTGTAAAGGTAAATTTGTACTGTTATATCCAATGTTATATTAAGATCAGTTTCTATGAAAGATTTACGTTACGTTATTTGCTATGTTGAATTATTTTGTTCCCATTTACTTGTAATCGCAAGATTATAGAAACTTGCGACGAACAAATGACCCGGCCAAGAAGATAATAGATCTTTGGTACTTTGAAACAAGCTATAGCGGCGGAGAACAGGGTGTTCCGGGACTGTTGTACCTACACGAATAATCGACGTGAATTCCGTAAAAGTCGCGTCAGGTCGGCCAGTTACATAGAAACGTAATGTTGTACGTGCAGCTTGAGGCTCGCCTCGCCGCGAGGGGGTTAAAGGTCGGACTCAAACGAACAGGGGAGACCCGATACGTGCACAAAGACACGCACGAATGCGTGAGGACACACCCACTTTAATACGTACCGGAATGCATTCGCATTTGATGCAGTACATGACTCCGAAGGGCGGGCCCAAATCCGCGAACCAGGTGGAGCCCAGTTCCCGTATCTGCTTGCCGAACGTACATTCTGCAACAAAGAGGCATTTGAATTGGCTTGGTGAATTTGTGGCTCCTCTTTTCTTTTTCCCGTTTTCTCCGACTGGTATATGTACGACTTAGGCGAATGAAAAATGACTAGGCGGAAATATTTGAAAGCGAACAGAAAGTGGAGATTGTGGATAGGAGAGGAAAAGAGGGCGTTGCAGAGGAGAAAGGTTTACGAATAAATATTCCACACTATTTAACTGTACTATTTGACTGCGAGAAAAATTCATGATCGTCAATTGTAAATTGTACGTTTATATCGAGATTTATATCGAGTATGTTGAGATTGAAACTTAATATCCAGCAGATGTGAAGGCACTTTGAGCAAAGTACTGCAGAAACGGATTAACTATTTTATAAACTATGTATAAAACGTGATACAGAGGTAAGAAAATTAATGCACTGGTTATTTAAGTTTCCATTGCGAAAGAAAGAAATCGTGTATCGTTTAAGTTATACGTAATACGACCACATAATCCCTTTACATTCCAGAATGGGATAAAAGTGAAATCGCGGAATGAATGGAGGACTCTTTCCGGCTGGGGTACGCTAATCGCCAGTCTCTGAATCATCGCCGTGCTCGAAGAAGGAGCAAACGTTCCTTGGTCGCCGCTTAAAAATCGCCGAGACGACGATGAGACGGTGCGTAAAAGAAGAAAGCGACGGGGCGAGAGAGAGAGAGAGAGAGAGAGAGAGAGAGAGAGAGAAAGGAAAGCGGCAGAAGGCGATCTGAAAGAAGGAAAAAGAAAGCGAGCACCATTCTCGCAAGGCCGTTGCCTCGTTTAACAGTGACGTGGATTCACCTTCTTCCGCTAAGATAAAAAGAAACCGAGGGAAAAGTCAGCTAGGTCCGTGTATGACTGTTAGGCGCAACGACGTCCTTTTCTTTTTCAGCGTAAAAATAAATACTCGACCGTGCCCGCGCCGAAAATAACCTGCACTCTTTCTGTCGGATTATGCGACTTATCGTCGCTTCTAAGAAACCGCTTCCATCCCCTCCATCGAGCGTATCACGCGCCCGGTAACCGAGCGATTCGTGCGCGTTACACCTCGACACGAAGAAGTTTCTCGAGACCGGAATACAGCAATCGCTTTATGGGAAGCGTGGCGCCGCCTCGCGTGCTACGCATCACGTGACAGCCAGTGGATAAGCAGCCATCCCTACACGTCGAATCGATAATTTTCGATATTTTGTTGGTATTTTATATCAAGGTGAATCACAAATGCAACTCGCCATTGCGAGTCAAGGACCATAAGAAAATAGATCATAATTGAGTTGTCATAAGAAGATGAAGGTTAGCGGATCATATATTAAATAATAACGGGAAGAATTCCAACTATACGATACAAAGTCTACTGTAACGATCAACAGACGAGAATGCGTCTAAAGTCAAAAATAAAACGTAATAGATTATACGCTGATCAACCGAAGTACGTGGAATTCTTCAGCAGCGTACCAACGAACCTATTAGCCGAGCAACGGTACAAATCACGGTTGAATCCATCCAGAACCTCAATACGATGCAAGCGTCGCGACGCTACACGTTTCAACGAACGGGGAAACGAAAGGAGATCGGGTCTCTTTGGATTCGTCCAGTCGTTCCGTTTGCTTCAAATGTGCACACATTCGACAGAGAAAGAGAGGAAGAAAGATACACAGTAAGGCTCGTTGCGCGAGGTCGTTGCACCGTGTGTACTAAGTCGTTCTAAGCGCATGGTCGGTCCTAAGCAACCAGGAGAGTCTGAGAGAAGAGAGCCTCGATACGCCACCGCATCGCAAATATGCGAGTCCAGTGCTACCTCGCCCTTTATGCGGCAGTGTTCATATGTCATCGATACTGTTCAGTTCATCGTTCAATTCATCCCAGGTATAACTCCTTTCTCTTCGTTCTGTGTGTATGCGCCGGCCTTTATTGCCGATTGCAAACAGGCTTCTGTGTACCAAAGCATTTTTGCGATACAGAGATCTATGAAGGCACAACTATGAAAAACTATGGTTTACTAGGTTAAAGAAAAAATGTAGATCAGAATCGCCACATTCGCGAACGTATTAATGGCCTGAATACAGGATATGGCGAGAAACAGGCAGTGTTGCCAACAAAGTCAACGAATTCCGTCCATTTCATCCGGCTCGATTTCCTTCCTCCGTTTAACACGAGACACGCCAGCAAACCGAATAAATCACTCGAGTATCGAGGACAAAGCCAGAGAACGAATTAATCCCGCCACTGCGCTATGAGGGACATCGAAATCGGAGGAAAGCTTCAGGGAGAACCGTTGCCGTGTCGGCGCACCGCGCGTGCACGGTCGACGCTCTTTATCGTTTCGATCTGACATTCTCCTAATGGACCTCTTCTCTTCCTCGGCTCGCGCCCTCTTAACGCCCGTTTCTCTAGAATTCGTAACGCGATACGTAGTGCGAAACGCGCCGATAAGTCGTTTCACAGAGAACATAAAATTTCACATTTAATAATATTGTTAGATTTTTACCATAGACTTTACTCTTTCTATACTAATTGTCTTTATATATATGTATATTTTTTATAGAAGTTTCTCCTTGCTCTGTTATTTGAAGTTGCAGCGCTATAGAAATACTCCATTGCCCTTACCGCATAAGTCTAAGCTCATGGGAAGGAATGTAACAACGGATAGGGCGGGAGCATAGGCGTCAAATCTCGCTAAACGTTTAATCTATTATTGGAAGGATGAGAATAGGACGTCGTAGCGGAGTGGACGACGCGATGGACGACGGAGTATAGAGTGTGGCCGATGCTAATTTGGCCCATATACTAACGTTTCATAGACCGTTAACTCCGTTGCTGTAACTTATGAACTGTGAAATTTTGTGCGCTTTATCTCGAGCCAGTGAACCGACCGCGCTTAGCGCAGCAACAGCTTCCTTGGCTATTTCGCGGAACACTAAACGCGCCCTCTCGGTGAACCAATCAGAAATTCAATGGCCTGCCCCATGGTGGCGTTCCGCTGTTTTTCCTTGTACATGCATAATGGCGCTTTTGTGGCCGTCCCGCGGTCTTAACACGTAACAAAATTAAGGATGCTAGCGGAGAACAGCCGCGTAGAGGGCGTTCACGCGAATTACCGAGACATTTGCATAAATGGATTAGCATAAATTAAACCGAATGGAAAAGCGTCGAGGCTGCGTCCGTAAATTGGCCGCGATTTGCATAAACGGAGAAGGCCTTCTCGCGTAACGCGTTCCTCTCTTCCCCTTTCGGTTCGCAGAAAAATCGTACGGACACGACACGACGAAAGTCGACGAGTGCAGTCGTAAAAAAGGAGCAGCCACTCAAACGGCGTATAACACTACTACGACGACAACCAGGGCCATCCTGAGAGCCGACGACGTAATACGGCGTTTGGGTTGAGACACGTAATGAAAACAGGCGTCCTCAAACGGTTGAGTGTCGGCCGTTTCGAGCAGCGCAAAAACAGGAGGAGACGCTCTTGCTGGCGACACCAGTTACGACGTCGTGTTTAAGACGGGTTCGTGTAAATTCACTTCCACTCCGGTGGAGGGGCACCAAACGGTTGCTATCGTTCGGTAATACTAATATTGACTTAAGGTGAAGATACACACAAAACATTTGTTGCATTATGATCCGTGTATGTATATAGCTATTTAGTTTGAGAAATCTAGGGGAAAAAGAAGGATTAGTAATGTGTACAAGGTCGTTATTTATTACTGACTTTTGATATTAGATCGAAGTCTCTCTACGGGGATACGAAGGGGATCTCTAAGATATACTTAATATTTTTTCGGTCATCATCTCCTACAATGTAATAATGTTTGAAAAAACTAAAGCATTTACAGCATAATTATAGTAGTTTTCACCAAATTATAGAATTTGAAAAACTTTATCTTATATTTCTGATTTATATAATGATCTTCTATATATGTAGTATCTACTATACGAACATATTCTTTGTGCCTTGTATTATCTTCCAATAATATGCTACGTTTATGTAACTATTACTAATTATTGCCTGGTCTTTTGTAGGTTACTGCAAGGTCAATATTAATTACCGTTTTTAGATCAAAGATGGCGTTATTACACATTCGAATGAACCAAGGCAAGTAATTTTAGTCACAGGATAATTTGATGTATTTAAAGTTCGAGCATCATCCGTTGACGATTCATTCCTCCTAGCTTTAGCTTTCAGCGAATCTCATCAAGAATTCTAGGAACACTGTTTCTGCCACTATTCTGAGCCACGTAGTCAGTCTAGGATAACGATGAACGCGTGGCGCTTCTAACTGAGGAGTTCGATGAACCGCGATGAATCCTCAACCGGGATTCATTTAGGAAAAATACGACAGGATAGACTACTGTTAATCCTAAAATATCTAAGGCGTCGACCGTTGACTCGGCCTGTCCAATGTCGGAAGATTGGACACGTTACCCCGACTTTTGCTTCCACAAAACCGTTCTTGCCCGCAAAACGTCGTTAAAGCCAGACCGACGACTATCTTACGCACGACGAAAGAAGCTTGCTCCAAATTCTCCACGGTAAAACATTTACCCTGACTTTATTCCTCCTGCTATTCAATAAACTGAACGAGAATATGGACGCCAAGAAAGTTGTAAGAAAACTTGCCAACAAATCCACACGTGCTTCTTTCCTTTTCCAACTTTTTGCCTGCGCGCGAAATTCGAATCGCGATCAGGGACACGTTTCAGTTTCGGGGACGATAAAGCGTCGACACGCGAGGTGTAACACGCCTCGACCGCGATATTAATTTCGTCTGAGACTAGGTTACATAAATTCACGATATAAACTCTGTCGTTCGAGAAACGAATCCACAAACATAACTCGTAAATGTGCGCCCTCATTGGCGTTCTTGTAAAGTTCGCCATCTATTTACATATTGTTAACAAACACGTTCGTGAGCTTTTTTACGAGCTTGCTATCCGCGAGAAAATTGTAGAGTGATCATAAAACGTTTGAAAATGATAACCGTCTTGGTATTCTTCGTACTAACTTTTTTATTCTTACTGATTGTATTATATTCGATGAAACAACTCGTTTCTCAGTTGGTAAATTAACACAATTTTCTAAAAAAGATTATTACAAACATCCCGTACAATTTTTAATTTTCTTCTTCATACTAAATTCATATACTGTTGGAATTTTAAGTTTATGAAATGAATATTATGTTGTAGCAACAAAATGTACGATTGTAACAATAATAATAGTACAACAATAAGGTAACTAGAATAGGACGCTACAAAGTCACGTGTGCGTTCTCAGTATCGGCCGAAATTCGTGCTAGCATCTTAACACAGTTGCACGGTTCTTCACGCGGAACAGGATATTTAAACCTGCGTTCGGCCCACTATCTTTATATCCATCAAACCGCCCTCTAGGTAGTTTTGTAACAACGCTATGAGTACGTCCTCGCTCGCTAAAATAAATAACGTTCTCCACTGGCGACGGATAAAAAAGGACTAGAAAAAGAAGCGACGCGATAGCCGGGTGAGTGAACGACAAACACATGCCACTTTCTTTTCTTGCTTTTTCCACTTTTCTCCATCTTGTTTCTTTTCCATGAATCTCGCGACGTTACACTTACTTCCTGTCCCCCCTATTTCGCGATCCGCCACTTGTTCTCTTCTCCTCCCTCTTGCAACATTCGTTCAAACTCTGATTCTTTCTCACTCTGTTACATAGGCGTTCTTACTCATCTCCATCTCGAGTTTCACATCACCTTTAGCATCGTATACGGTCTCACGTCACGTGACATTGCGATGCACCGAGCAGCATCGAGGTTATTTTATCTGAACGCGAACGTGCTTGTCTTGGTCGTGTAATTTCTAACGTTTCATTGCCGCACTAAACAATGCCATTGTTTCAGAATGAAAACAAGGCCCATAAAATTTCCAGAAAGGCAAGTCGAATAAAGTTAACCGCACGAGCATTTAGGTGTTATTAGAATCGACCTTAAGGCAGATTCTCAGTTTTACTGTCGTTTTTAATCGAAACGTTATGCCCAGCTACAAGACGATTTTTTGCCTGAATTTTAATTAACGAAGAAAGGTTAATTCATGGTAATAGGTTTTTAACACGATGACAACTGATATTAAGGAGCGTTTAGAAGTGGTTCATGGTGCCAAATCGGTAGACCACTACGCGACCGTCTTTAAAATGAAAATTTATGCACAACGAGGAACATGCGGGTAGTCTGGGATACCTGCTAAAGATAGATTCAGCTTTTTTGCTCTTCTTTGCTTCGCGACAGATGTTCGTAGAAGATCTATAAGGTCAGTTCGCACATAACATGTGACGTCCGAGTTCGAAAATCAGGCGATCAGTTTAGTACACAAATCTGACGAACTCAAAATCCCCAAACATAGTCTATACGATAATTGAATTATCACCAAGTTAGGTGTGATCTCATTAACTCAGAAATGCGAAATTGGATTTGAAGTCGCAAGCCGAGTAAAAAATCACAAATGTATTCACGGACGGATGATTTAACAGAAGTTGTGAAAAATAAAGAAGTGACTAACATATCAATCTATATAGCTTATCGCATAATAAAATTACAACCTAACCTAACGTAAATCGCCATCACGTGACGAGAAACTAAATGAACCGGTAACCTATCGCCACGGAAGCAAAGGGAAAGGCTAGGAAAAATGAAACGGAACGATTGGATAACGATCGGGTTGAGATTTTTCGTGGGCGAAGTCCAACGAAAATAAAACGCGACGTCTTGTCCTCGCGATTCCCGACGAGATCGTAACGACCACGCGAGGAAGAAAGAAAAAAAGTAAGCAGCGGAAAAGACACGATAGGAAAGGAAAGGAAGACGAGCGAGCAGACGAGGGAGGAAGTGTGGCGAAGCCAGGTGCCGTCGACATTGTCCTTACGCAACGCTGGCTGGCCGTGAAGCATCGTCTGGCCGAATATGAGGGCGCTATCTACATCTTCCGGTCCGGCTCGATCCTTGAGGGCCACTTTCTCATAGGTTGGTCTCCTGACACTGCAAGTGGGCAGACACGTAGGCGACACACTCTCCTCGCGACTTCTCTTCGTCGACATCGACACATCGCGGTCGCCTCTCCTGCCGTGTCTCGCCACTACGTTATAAAACGGCGACGCTGTTGTACGGCCGTACCTGCTCTCCTGGCTACAGGTTTCACGTAGGTGTACGCCTACGTGCGCCTCGACCGAATATGTATCTCACCGAGTCCTCGATCAACATTAATATGCAGAGGAGTTAAAGTCGAGTACTCCTCGGCCTCGATCGAGCTGCACGCAAACGCATCTACGATCTGGTTGGCTGCAGGGAAACGAAGGAGTCAAGGATTTGCACGTTTTATTGTCAATTATGGATAATTAGTCGGCCTAATTTTGTTTTAAAGAAACGAAGGGGAGAATTACCGATGATCATTCTTACGACCGGGAAATCTATATCATTAAAATTAAAAAAGGTGAATGCGCATTTTTGCAAATTTGCATGTTTTTATTAAGGGTAAGGTAAATTTTCATATTCTTTAAGAAACCATGTCTTTATACTAACGGTCGACTGTTTCAGCCTGAAAATATATGAAACGAAGTTTTGCTTTGCAAATACGAATTCTGGTGTTAATTAGTAGAATGCGAATATTTATGCATTTATCAAGAATTTGTACAACATCCAAAAATGTATGGAATACAATATATTAAATATCTAAAGAAAAGTTCTCGTTATATTCAATGGGTGAATAATCTTCATTTAGATTTCATTTCTTTAATTATGTTCGCAAATATTTGACATTTACATAAATAGACGCACTAATACGCAGTCAATTAATTAGACATTGACATTAGAATCAGCCTTAAGGTTACGCGATGATCTCAGAAATATATTAAATTACGATAAAAGATTGCTACTCGAGTAATTAATAGGTTTTTATAGGAATCATAATATCTGGTTCACCGTTTCGATCTGTATGAAAGAGGCGTAAATCTCTAGGCGAGTACGCATGTAGGCGAAACGCCCTCGCAACTTCACTTTCCCGGGGCGAGCGCCACCGGCAGCGTAGTACGAGGATCACGATGACGCTTCCCACACGTACTTTAGCTGTTTTCACGTAGCTACAAGCATTTCAAAAATACTCTGTCTGGGAACAAAACACAACACACACCTACGTCGGTTCTAAACAGCCATTTCAGCAATTTTCTTCGGTCGTCAAAAAATATAATGAAATATAAATGGCCAGACGTGACTCGAATTAAAAGGTATTACGCAATTCAGGCTTGAATACCCACATGGCTAAAATTAGATGTCACTATAGAATTTACAGGATTGGTGAAAAAAAACAGAGACCGCGCCTTTATCGGCAATCGAGCCCAGACTTTCATGTTTCTATGTAGGCAATGGTATTTCCAATCAATTACTTCAACAGAATTTTATACGACTTTGTCGCCACATAAAGTTGCTTAATAGAATTTAGATATGTCATATAATGAAACTAACGAATTCTGAATTTCCTCCTTTTCAATTTTTATAATCTTTCCATGAACGTAGTTATATAGAAATTGTAGAAAATTGTGGATCTTTGAAGCCGAAATAATGTTATAGGAACACTAAATTTATACTGAGGATTAATATTAAAATAACGAAATATTTATTTCATGAACGATTCCTTATATATTCATCGATACACCGAAGGAGTCAAGGATTTGCACGTTTTATTGTCAATTATGGATAATTAGTCGGCCTAATTTTGTTTTAAAGAAACGAAGGGGAGAATTACCGATGATCATTCTTACGACCGGGAAATCTATATCATTAAAATTAAAAAAGGTGAATGCGCATTTTTGCAAATTTGCATGTTTTTATTAAGGGTAAGGTAAATTTTCATATTCTTTAAGAAACCATGTCTTTATACTAACGGTCGACTGTTTCAGCCTGAAAATATATGAAACGAAGTTTTGCTTTGCAAATACGAATTCTGGTGTTAATTAGTAGAATGCGAATATTTATGCATTTATCAAGAATTTGTACAACATCCAAAAATGTATGGAATACAATATATTAAATATCTAAAGAAAAGTTCTCGTTATATTCAATGGGTGAATAATCTTCATTTAGATTTCATTTCTTTAATTATGTTCGCAAATATTTGACATTTACATAAATAGACGCACTAATACGCAGTCAATTAATTAGACATTGACATTAGAATCAGCCTTAAGGTTACGCGATGATCTCAGAAATATATTAAATTACGATAAAAGATTGCTACTCGAGTAATTAATAGGTTTTTATAGGAATCATAATATCTGGTTCACCGTTTCGATCTGTATGAAAGAGGCGTAAATCTCTAGGCGAGTACGCATGTAGGCGAAACGCCCTCGCAACTTCACTTTCCCGGGGCGAGCGCCACCGGCAGCGTAGTACGAGGATCACGATGACGCTTCCCACACGTACTTTAGCTGTTTTCACGTAGCTACAAGCATTTCAAAAATACTCTGTCTGGGAACAAAACACAACACACACCTACGTCGGTTCTAAACAGCCATTTCAGCAATTTTCTTCGGTCGTCAAAAAATATAATGAAATATAAATGGCC